CAGAGAACAGCGAATAAAGAATAGAGACTCGGCAATAGATGATGGGAAACAGAAAATAGAGAATAGAGAACAGAGAACAGCGAATAAAGAATAGAGACTCGGCAATAGATGATGGGAAACAGAAAATAGAGAATAGAGAACAGAGAACAGCGAATAAAGAATAGAGACTCGGCAATAGATGATGGGAAACAGAAAATAGAGAATAGAGAACAGAGAACAGCGAATAGAGAATAGAGACTCGGCAATAGATAATAGGGAACACATAATATAGAATATAGATAAGAGAATAGACGATAGAGAACATATAATAGAAAATAAAGACTAGAGAATATATGATAGATAAACAGATATTAGAGAATACAAAATAGAGAGGATCGAATAGAGAAAAGAGAACAGGCACCAGCGACTAGTGACTAGCGATGACAGCATAGTGACTAGAGATTATAGAATACAGGATAAACGATAGAAAATATAGAATAGTAAATAAAGCAAAGCGAATAGAGAATAAAGAATAAAAGATAGAGAATCGAGAATCGAGAATTAAAGATAGAGAGTATAGCGTATAGAGTAGAGAGTAGAGAATAGAGAATGGAGAATAAAGACTAACGAATAGAAAAGGGAGAATCGAAAATTATTGATCGAGGAAACAGCTAAAACAGAACCCTTATGACCATTGACTGTTGGAGATATACGTATGTGCATAAGGCTTAATGGGATCTGCGCCTAATAGAAAAAATCACCAGCCCGTTGGCGTTTGTTATGCATTGCTACTGATTGGATGTTTACGCTGCGCAGTGATCCTTTAGGGATATATCACGTCAGTAGGGTATAGAAAACTCAACCCACTCATCAGTTTGCGATGGTGCTGGTATCACATTGCAAGGCTTTCTATTAGAAAGGGTAACAATAGAATCGGTCCGTCTGGTAATTTAATAACAACAGCAGCCATCGTCACAATCTGATGTATGTGATCACGTTTCGTTGCTGTTTACAATTCCTAGTTTATTTTGTGTCTCCCCCCCCCCCTACAGAGTGCGGACACGCTAAAAGACACGGCAGACGCTTACGTCATCGCTTACTCGATCACTGATAGGCGGACGTTCGAACGCGCCGTGGACGCCCTCTATTGTCTTCACCAGCACAACGAGGGCATTTACAAGGCAGTGATTATGGTGGGGAATAAGAGTGACCTAGCACGCAGCAGGACAGTCGCCGACGAAGGTAATGAAAACGTACCCCGCCCGACGCCGCATTTGTTCGACGATTCTCGTCTGTTTATTAATGGCGGTGTACCGCAGCACGACAAATGTGTGCACTGGTTAGGTCTTTTTGATTGCTACCTCTCAGGGCGACGGTTCGCCCATCCGCGCGCCTTGCTTTGATATTTTAACTCGGGCGTATCAAACGAGCAGAGCTCCCTCATCGGGATCCCGCAGTGCGCGCCGTGTTACAATGGCTGCTCGGTCGGGTAATGATTTTACGTGGGTAGAATAGCGAATAGGAAGGAAGGTAGCAGTGGATTTGGGCCGATTGTCAGCGAATTGATGGCGTTGCGCTAAACGAGACGTATGATGCGTTCGTAACTAGGGTTACTCTTGCGGGAGGGTAGAGACGAAAGCTTTCTTACTCGGTGCTTAGCGCATCGGCTTATGAATACATATACGTGATATGGCATTACACACGCAGACACACACACACACGCACACATACACACACGCACGCACACACGCACACACACACACACACACACACACACACACACACACACACACGCACACACGCACGTACTCATATATAATACTGATCGGGTGTCCTGTTTCCGTTGCAGCGGCGATGTCGGTGGCGCTACAGTACGGCTGCAAGCTGACCGAGGCGTCGGCGGGAATCAACCACAACGTCGACGAGCTACTCGTCGGCATTATCAAACAGATTCGGCTCAAGAAACGCAAACTGCTCGCCGACCACAGCGCAGCGAGCAAGACCTCCAAGGAGAAACCTACCTGTGTGCCAGGCCCGCGCTCGCTGCTAGAGAGGCTGTTCCATAAGAAGCACAAGTACATATCAAAGTCGTGCACGAATCTGCATGTGCTGTGAACATACAACGAAGCCGCCGCGGTCCGACGGAGGAGAGAGGGAGATGGATAGATGGAGAGAGGGAGAGGGGGAGATGATGAGAGGGAAAGAGGGAGAGAGGGGAAGGGAGAGAAGGAGAAAGGGAGAGAGCGGAGAGGGAGAGAGGGAGAGAGGGAGAGAGGGAGAGAGGGAGAGAGGGAGAGAGGGAGAGAGGGAGAGAGGGAGAGAGGGAGAGAGGGAGAGAGGGAGAGAGGGAGAGAGGGAGAGAGGGAGAGAGGGAGAGAGGTGAGAAAGTGAATATGGGGAGAAGCAGTAGGGCTGAATAGAGGAGATGGGGGATGGGAGAGGATGTCGAAGGAATGAGAGAAAGGGGAGCTGTAGGAGGTGGGGAGGGATGATTAGTGCAGATGGCAGGAGGAACGGGAGAAGGCGGAAGATGGGAGAGCCGAGCGTGTCTTTTTTTTAAGAATATAATTCGTAGGTTTTGTAAATATTTGTACCGGGTCCGTTTCGCAACGGACGAAGCATGCAGAGGTTCTATTTTGACGCGTCGAGAATTTTTTCTCAAGAATATCTGCTCTACTTCTGTCGTAGATTTACCTGCTGCAACCAATACACTGTCGGAGCTGTTTTCAATGCCCGAGAGTGTATTTAAATGTATTTATTTGAGCAGGCGGTGTAGCTACACATGACGTCGAGTAATGGACAAGATATACGAGCATATCACGTATAGCTATAGGCTAGAACGCCGTCAAACACCTTACTGTGGTGTGCGAGACGAGCAAATCTGCCTTATAGTCGTTATTTGTGTGTTTTAATTTTGTTTCTTAACAAAATAACGGAGCCAACGAGTATCTATGTGTGTATAAGAGAAGCGACGTGCAGGCGTGAGCGAGTGACAATTCCGTTATCGTACTGCCTTCATAAATGCCAATCTCGTATATATATATATATGTGTGTGCGTTTTAGGCGTCACGGTATACGTGAGAGTCGAATGAATCGTTCATTTGATTAAACTATAAAGAATTAAATTAATTGAAATCAATACTCGTCTACATGTGAATGATGAATGTCACTTATAGATGTTTTCAAGCTATTGAAACCGCGATGTGTGCTTTCTCGAGTTTACTCTCCCATCACATAATTAGCTCCTTACTAGTATAACCACGATGTCGATAGGTGAACTCACTGATATACGAGTGTGCTCTCGCTATACGAGTAATTTTTCTCCGCTATACTTCAGAGCGCACACATATTTAATTGGTTTTGTGGTGGTCCGCTTAGCGGATCTCTAATCAGGTAGTGCTCATTAAACAGGAACGCCACCAGGGGACGCTGTAGCCTCACTCTCGAGGGGAGTACGTACGTGCGGATCTTTTTCTTCTCATTCGCTGCGTGTAGGTTATATATGCTTTGCCCCATGCAACGTCTGTTTATGTCAATAGTCACGTCTGTCGTGGGAAATGCTTTGTGCGCTGTGAAGTCGATGCTTTCCTTGGACTTTGTTAGAAGCTACGGCACACACTCCGGCAACATGCGACGGGAGAATATCACCACCACCGCGTCATTGCGGCGCAAGCACGCACGAACGCACGCACGCCCGTGGCGAGTGTTTTCAGCTAATACCAGAGTGTGCGTATACGTGCGTTCGTTCCTGCATGCGTGAATGCGTATAGGTGCGGGCGCGCGCGCGTGTGTGTGTGTGTGTGTGCGGGTACGCGCGTTATCATTTCTTCGTCGCGTTATAACTCGGTGAATTGCGTTATATAATAATCGTTGGACGAGATGATTGTTTTCAGATCTGTAGATTTGTTACCGTTGCTTTCGTACCGTGTGTGTGTGTGTGCGTGCGTGCGTGCGTGCGCGTGGTTGTGTGTGCGTGCGTATGTGCGTGCGTGTATGCGTGTGCGTGCGTGCGTGTGCGTGTGTGTGCGTACACGCGCGCGAGCTCGTATACACGCACGCGCGTAGCTCTCTGAGCGCTGCATCGCCGTCGCGCGTGAATTATCATTGATGCTTGATCGCTGTTGTTGAGCTTCGATGCATTTCCGGCATCATACGCTACATGAGCTACTAAACGTAACTTGCTAATAACTGCTAGAATTTGATGGGGAATTAAGCCGTCTTTCCGAGTTTAGCGCTGGTGTGTGAGAACCGCACACGGCGTAATTAACACACTTTTTTTTTGCTTGGGAGCGGTGGACGAAGCCGCGCGGTGTATGTGTTATTGGGGTATCATCTTAGGCAGTTCGGTATTGACCACGTAGTAGGATCAAGAGCGTATTAACCTTCTTAATACGCTCTTGGTAGTATCTACATTGGTCTGGTGGTGGTAGGGGGCAATGTGGCACCGCTACCCACGACCTTTTTCGTGTATCCTTCGTGCATGTATATACACAAACTTCACCGTTATCAGCAGCCTATATCTAGTAAAATACAAACAAAAAACAGGCAAAAGTCAACCTATCGCCGTCATGACTATCTGCGTCTAGACGAAATGATGTGCACCATTGTATCACTAATGACTCATTTCATATTTTTGAGATTGAGTTAACTTTATCAGGCGCTAGATGTCGCTAGCGAATCACAACGTTGTCTTTATTGCACGGTAGGTCTATTTCTTTACATTTACTGTTTAGGCCTGTTTCTCATGTTGATACTGATCATACGAATAAAATTCCGAGTATCTGATTAATTTTGGCTCTTGATATTTTTAAATTAACGTATTCTTGTTCACGACCATGTACAATCCGTTCATGGTCGCTACATAACATATTACATGTTTCGTGAAATGTTCATCCCATAAACGGACATCGTGTAACAGTAACGATAATATGGAAAAATATTTATATAAAAATACATTCATTATCAACTGCTCTAGTTGTATGTACAATATAACTCTGAAACAAAGCATTTTTTCTGAATCATTCAAAGTATCTTGAAAATCACATACACACACCATAAACTGTTGTTGGAATCGTAATGTCAAGTATTGGAGAGCGCATTCACAAATCATACTTACCTGGCATCGGGGCTTCCATGATCAACAAGGCGGATCCCCCAGGAAGAGGCCTTTCCATTGCACTTCGGTTTGGCTGACTCCTGCGATTCTCTCAAATCGAGGGAACTCGGGTGTATAATTTTTGTTAGAGGGGGACTGCGTTCGCGCTATCCCTCATTATCAAACAAAAGATAAGAAATCTGAAACGAAGTCCTTTGGTTTATATCAAACGAATCGAAAGCGTGAACAAAATTCAGAAAAGTATAGAATCTGTCGGTAGCAAGTAACACGATCGTTACACATCGAACATTTTTTAGTTTTGTTGTTTAATACCATAATAATTTATTGGATATACGTATTTGTCGTATCAACATCGATCAATCTATAGTTGTTTTTTATTCGCAGGGAGTGCAACCCGTCATGTATCGTGAAATGGTTTTGCGGCTATTCTGAAGTAATGCAAATATCTCCTGTCAGGCAAGCAGAGACAACAGTTACTGGTAATCGCACACAGAGCCATGCAGCCCCCTTCCCTGCCGCCGAACGTGATCAGACACTACATCGCGCTGCCATCTGGTGGCCGGTGTGGCAAACTGTTGGCCCGTTTAGCGCCATTCAAACGATGCTGATCGGTTAGACATCTGTTGCAATAATTATACGCTGACAGTGTCACGGTTTTTCACAAAATGCGAAGTGCGTGTCAATGCGAAGAGAAACTGGTTAGTAGCAGCAACAGCCGCTTAAAGTGATTACGTCACCGTAAATAGTAAAAAAAACAAAAACATTTCCACTTTTTCACAAAATATAAGTAATTCTGTCTACTTTTTATGATTAAATTGCTGCATTATACTTCTTATTTTACTATATTGTTTGATGTGAACATACACTCGTGACGCATACATAGCCCATAGCAAGCAATTAATGTCAGGACCACTAATATCAAATCGTCCAGGTTTTTTGGATTTTTAACTAGTTGAGAAACAATCATATCAGGTAAGAATTTGACCATACGTTTAGTCCCGTTAGTTCTTACTTTTAATGTAAAAAAATGGCAACAAAAAATTTACAAATTTCACCATAGAAAATTCGTGACATAGTCAATTTAAACGCGCACCTGTTTTATATTCGTTTACCCCACGGGCGCACAGAGCAAAACCGGTCGTTCCATCTTCTATAGTTGCAAGCATGTTTGCCAGAAGGTGTGAGTGTACGGCGGTTTTGGATTCATGGGCCTGTAATCAGTGTGTTGCTAGCGTCTCATCGAACCGTGCAATTAGTCTCGTATCTCCTATTTGCCGTTCATTTGCCCAAATTAGAGAGTAGTTGGCAAGCGCCGCGAAAATGAAGCGATATTAATATAATGACAGGTTACGGCGAAAGCGTTTGTCACAGGTTCAGACTGTATAGAATGTTACGTTGCCATTAGGCGAAATACGATGCATTACGTAAAGTAAATACTCGTGAGTACGTTTGGGATAAACTTACGTGATAGAAACCGGAATGAAACACACACACACACACACACACACACACACACACACACACACACACACACTCAGGCGCGCCACGTACGGCACGCACAGCACGCCGCTGCGCGCACACACACACACACGCACACACACACACACACACACACACACACACACGCACACACACACACACACACACACACACACACACACACACCTATGTGTGTACGCTCACACGCACCCACGTACGTTAACACGCGCGTGCGCGCACACGCGCATATATTTCTAAAATTAAAACTTTAATGAGACGGTGACACGCACAGCTTATACGAGCGCATGAACTACACAAAGCATGTGGAGCAATATGTGAAATTTTTCTTCGTTTGTAAACGGATTTCAACAACGGAGAAAGTAAATGTCGCTGACCTGCAGACTGGCGGCCAGGCTCACCTAACCGATTACGGAAAGCTGTTCTGTCGCTGCATGCTTTCCCGCCAGCTCTTTCGACCAAGATATCTACAATTCCCCGCACAACATTGCCGTNGAGAGAGAGAGAGAGAGAGACGATAGGTCATCGTCTCGCGAAAAGCTTTCTTAGC